TCATTGCCCTCATCATTCTCAAAACATTTCCTCTCCACTTAAACCCCCAGCAAAAATGAGGACGCTGTAGATTTTTATATGAGAAAAATATGCTGCATGTTATTTCCTGAAATTTGGGGATCATGAAAAAAATATATGCTGTTCTGATTCCTGCCTGCTGCCTTCTCCTTCCCTGAGGTGGGAGGAGAGTCTCTTGGCTGTAAGAGTTCTTTTTTCCTTTTTCTTTTTCAATTTTTTTCTTTCTGGATTTTAGCTGTTGACAATACTGAAATATGAGGGTTGTATTTTTTCCTGCTGCCTCCCACCCTCTGAGGCGGGCCCAGTTCCACCCCAGACTCTGGAGAATGGGGCGGGGGCGGAGTGCTGTCTGCAGGGCCGTAGGCATCCGGTCTGGCCTTCTGGCCAGAGGACCCCCCAGAATTCAGATTGCTTGGGGATGCTAAACTGTCCCAAAGGTTGGCAGACGGCCAGTGAGGACCAGCCCAAAGCAGCTCAGATTCTCAGAGCAGACCCTGGCCACCTCCCAGGAGGGCTGGGCAGGCCGCTGAGCCCGGAAAGACATCCGTGGAAGGACTGAAAGGACACATGGACTTTCTCCACCCTCTGGCTCGCCTCTGCTGACCAGGAGTGACCCAGCTCAGCCCCAGAGGAACATCCAGACTCCAGGGGCCTCAAGAAGGGGCTCTGCAGAGACATTCCTGGAGGGGCAGGTGCTCTGTCAGTTGATGCCTGGGGAGTGGGGTAGGGGTGGGGGGCCTGGGACCAGAGGAGAGAAGATCCCATGAGAGATGTAGCAGGGCCTGCAGAAGAGGCCAAACTGCTTTTCTGTAGCCTCCTTGGGTGAACACATGTGGAAAGGGGTCACAGACAAAGACACAGGCAAATTGGTTTCATCCCATCCTTCATTTTGTTCATGGAAGGCTAAATTCACGAAGGGTCTTAGAGAGGAAATGAGTTCCATGTTCTCTTGTACGCAGAAATTATTTTTGTACACCACCTCTGCCAGCCGGCCGTATCACATCGCTTAACATTTCCAGAAAGGGGAGGAAGCACCTTGCCCACTCTCCTTTGCTAGACAGCTCTGGTTATCAGAGAGCAGTTTGCTGGATGGAGCAAATAGTTAAAAGGACTAGGAGGGGAGGTTCGAGCTCGCTCAGATGTGCCTCTGGAAAAGGGCCTGGTGATCTGCTCTAGAAAGGTCATGCGTGTGGAAGCCTAGTGAAGTGCAGTTCTACTCTGACACACACACAGGTGTCTGTGTGTTGGAACCGGCTGGCAGCACCTGGTTTTGCTGATGAGTGTCTTCGATTGACAAAGGAAATCAACTTTCCTAGATCCCTGGTTCCAGGAAACTCACAAACTACCCATTCTAGTTTTCTGTTGTTACCGCTCCATCCTTATGTCCTGAAGTCTTGACTCCTGCTTAATATTGAATGAGTAAAACTTTGTGGATGGATGGTATCTTTTCTTTTCTCTTCTTTGTCCCCATTTTTGTCTATAGGGTCTCAACCAAGCAGTGCTCCTCCTGTAAAGCGTTAGTCTTGGGAACTCACTACCCTGTCCTACAGGGACACTACGAATCGTCACCCACTCACTGGTGGTGAGGAGAGTTTCAATGAGTGAATTACTTGATGGCTGTGGGTTGGCTTTGGCTTCTGCTTTTCAAAGGTCTAGGTTCAGAAAGCACAGGGAGCATTTTAGAAGCCTAGTAACTATGCACACAGGCAATCATATCCACATATTTGACTCTCAGATATTTATATTCTAAGCAGATGATAATTCCTTCATGCACTTAGCATATGCATAGACACTGCTGCCCTAACACAAGAGCTCAGGCACACTAAGACTCAGAGGATCAACTATCTTGGCCTGACTGACTTCTCCCAGACCTGGTCTACAGTCCACATAATCCACACCGACATATTGCCAGCGCCTGCCATGGTAACAGCAGAACAGAAACTCATGGAAATGTATCAGGATCTATCTACAGTGCTGGCTGGCCACCTGGAGGGCAGTCTCTTGGGAAGAACTCACAATCCCTAACTGGTGTAGAACTACAATCCTCTGACTATATATGAACCTTTCGAACATCCTTCCCACATCTGTTCCGATGAACCCAGATTTTTGGGTTGTAACTGCTAGCCAATATGCAAGAGAGCGCCTATACAGTTCAAATTAGAGAGTTATTTTAATTCTCTCATCTCAACACACACATATCCCAAGACCACTCTTTAGAACACTCGATCCTGATTGGGTGAAACCATTTCCCTAAAGGTAATGGACAGGACCACTGCTACTTAAAGCATGGAGACAAAAAGAGAAACCTTGTGGAGACTGCAATTTCTCTTTCTTCCCTATTACCCAAATTTTGGGGTCCACTTTTCCTTCCCTGTTGTGAAAATAGCATTTCTCTAGAAGTAAAATGGGGTCCTTTTTATTGGTGCTGAGGACCTTAGATGGCTTGTTTTGTTTCGTGAATTCAGGTGGGCTAGGGAAAACAAAGACCCCTTTCCACTGACTGAAATTGTCAGCAGGAATTCTGGGTTGGTGAAGACAGACAGGGTGTGGTCTTCCCTGCTTTCTGCTGTGTGATCCTGGGCAAGTCACTTGCCATGTCTGCTCTCAGAATCTGGTGCAGCTCTGGAATTCTGTTGCTCTAAGATCCTACCCTTTCCAATTTGGGGAAATCCCTCTTGCTCGCTGTGATAGCTAGTGGAATCCCTAAGAATTGGAAGAAAAGTGGAGTGAGACCATAGGGGACACAAGAACAGGCATTTCACAGAGGAGTCTCCATCCTGGGGGCCTTTAAAGGACCCTGGTGGTGCAGCGGGGTGAGCACTAGGCTGGAACCCACCAGCCACTTGGAGGGAACAATATGAGCCAGTCTGCTTCTGTCAAGCTTGACTGCCTGTGATACCCTGTGGAGCAATTCTACTGGGCCCATCGGAGTGCTGCAAATTGGCATGGATGCAAAGGCAGTGGACTTAGAGGCCTTCAGGACCCTCCCAGGTGGTCTCCTTCACCCCATCTGCTCAGAGATGCCTTAGACATGGTGCTCATGGGACTTAGCATCACGTGGCAATGAGCACTCACCCCAGGTCTTGGGAGGATAGGAAAAGACTTGCTTAATTAAACATAAAAAGTGCCAGCATAGATGAGGAGGGGCCATAAACCTTTTAAGACACAAGAGAACAAGGCATTCCCCAGGAGCCCAGCTGGCTTGGGAGAGACTAAGCTGGCCTTGGGAACCATACTCCACCCTAGATGCAGGGAGGGAACCCTTGTTGCTGGAAGGCGGGACGGTCAAGGTGGGGATGAGATCGAAGAGAGACCAATTGGGAGGAGGCAAGGGAAAGTTCATGGAAGGGAGGGAGAACAAGT